TTTAATATAGAAACAAAAAAAAAACGCAGATACAAATAGAAATCAGATACAAATCTTAAATCAATAAAACATCAATTCAGTATATAATTTCGATTTTATATAAAAAATTATTTTGAAATTGCTTTTTGTGCTCAATCAATAAAGCTTAACTGTGAGAAAAAATATATTAAATAAAACATATATAAACGCAAAAGTTTATAGAAAAATACAATTGAAAAGAAAATTAATATAAATTGCACATAAAATTGAAAAGATATACTTATACAAAAGCAAAAATCTTGCAAAAAATAATAATGAAAACTTAGCTAATTAATTTATTATATAATGAAACAAGCGATTTAGCTTTAAGTCAAAATATATATACATACTTGGAATAAAAATTTAATACATATATATATATATATATATATATATATATATAAATACAAAAAATATTTACGTAGTTTGTAAAGTTAGAAAATTTTTTTCGAATTAGTAACTTTATTATACTAAATTAAAAATTCCAATTTTTTAAAATATAAAAAATACATATTAAATGCATCGAATTTTCTATGAAAACATTTATTTACACATGAACCGAAATCATTAAATTTTACTAAAAAATTCTAAAAAACTAAAAAAAGTAAAAACAAATCTGGTTTTGGAATTTGGGGAAGAATTTTAAAATTGATTTGTTTTTCAATTTCTTGTAGATTTTACAAAATTAAGAAACAAAAATAGGATGGAACAAAATAATTTAATACATGGAAATAAATATTTGAACTATTATAACACTCTTTCTTTGAATTTCGGAAAAAAAATTAACTTATAAATAAAATTAAACACATATAAATGATTCTTTTACAAACCAAAAAATGCTTTAATTTAAAAGACGATCCGATATACAATTTGTGTAAAAAGTACACTTAATTAAAATAAAATAATTTTTATACATATAGTGCAATAGCGATAATAAACCTTATGCAAAAAATTTAGAAATATTAAACTAAAACCGAACTTTCTTAAAATGACCCCTTCCCTTCTTATGCTGTGTTATTTAAAACTTTTTCGCTATATATAAGCTAACATACATCATTCGTATATTAAGACATAACATATTGTATCATTTTTTGCTATGAAAATGAATGTTAAAAAATATAAATTCAGTTTATAAACACAATATAACATAATTATTTATTGATATTCATATATTAGTGAAAATTTAAATGGTAATAACACAAACACACAAAAAAAAATTAATTACATTTTTTCAGTTTCTTGCTTTTAACAAGCAACTTTCATATATCATATAAACTCTGTTTTTATATGTAGAAAATATATTTTGTTAAGTAAAAATAATTACACAATTTAAAAGTTACACACAACCAAAACTTTACAAGAAAATTTTATTACATACATATATATATTACTAAAAAAATATATAATAAAAAAAATTCTTATATATTTAAACAGAAATTATGAAGACGCCGCAATTTATATATTTAAAATCATTTTAATAGACAAAAATTATATTATTAAAACTATTTAAATTATATTATCATATAAACTTTAAATAAAATAAACCTTAAATAAAATATATTGCAACTCTGTTTCAATTCATATACAGTACGCGCTCAGTTATGTGAACTAATTCAGATAGAGCAAGTTCACATAATCGAAATGTTCACCTAATCAAAATTTTTTTTTTTAAGTTTTTTTCCTAATTTTATTAATAAAAAATACTTTATATGAATACAATCTTTAGTAACACTTGTTATCCAGGTATTTTTTTAATTGATCATAATCCACTGGAAACAAAAACTTTTTAAAGCATCTTGACTTTGCTGCTTTTCCCACAAACGCCAGATGCATTTGTGCAGGCTAAAAATGTAAGGCGCGCTTTTTCAGCTTTCGCCCAGGTGTACCTGTTTCATGTTTGCAAGCCAAAGTTTTAGAAGGAAGCATTTTCCAAAAAATACTTGGCTCGTCTGCATTATAGATATGATCTTCTTTTGAGTTCTGCGCTTTTATTAACGAATTAAAAGTGCTTTTAAAGGGATTCACAAGATGAGAACTCGAAGGTAACTTAACCCCTGAAATTTTTAGAAGCTTTATTCCAAATCTTCGCTAAACTCCTAAACCCATCCATCACTGGGGAAAAAATATTCTTTTCTTTTAATATGTTTTTTATCTCCTTTGCTTTTGTTTTCAATATTTCACGAGAGACTGGAAGACTTCTACTTCGTTGTGCACAGAACCACTCATATAATTTTGCCGCGATTTAGGCATCTCTTCGAATTTCAAAGTTTTACTTTTAGAACCAGCCACATAATTGTCTGTGGTATCTAAATCTTTTTTTATTTTTTTTTTATCGCACTAACTGAAGATTTTGATATGTAGTATTTTTTTGAAATCGATGTAACCGATGATCAACTTTCGGTTCCAAGAACGGCCGGGTCTACGTCCCGGAGCCACTCGTCAAAGACGACCAAGTGCCGTTCGACCACCCCCAAAGGGACTACACAAGCAGGTATGTGTTTGTTTGACATATGTCGTTTATATGTGTTTTTCCCACTAAGAAGCAAGTTCCGGCCATCTTGCTTCTTATGTTACTTCTAATGGCCGGTATTGAATCTAATCCTGGTCCTGTCATACCAGCAATTTCAAAATGGCACTGCTCTGTCTGCAACAATATTATCAGCAGAAACCAAACATCTGTTAGGTGCAACAGTTGCAATAACTGGTGCCACCTTCGAAACTGTTCAGGTTTGCATAGCCATACCGATTGGAACTCTGCCTTTAGAGGAGCTTGTTGTCCAACTTCTCCTCCAGTTAGAATATCTACATCTTCTTCAAACACTGTCAGCCCGTTTCCAATCAATGCCATCCAATCTCCCCCCATGGCATCCCCTTTGTCTACTAATTGGCTATGCACAGTTTGCAATCGCGCAATCTCTGGGAACACCATATCTGTACGTTGCAATTCCTGTAATGGATGGTGCCACCTTAGACCTTGCTCTGGATTACGCTCTCATCATGGTTGGAATTCAAATTTCGTTGGCACTTGTTGCCAACCTCCACCTATAATTCCACCGCAAAACCGCTCACTCTCTCAACGCACAAGTGTTGTCTCAACTATTAACAGATCTTCTCCTCTTAAAATTCTACAGTTTAACTGCAATGGCCTTAGAGGAAAGATTTCTGAAATCGCAGCATTCATGACTTCAAATAACATCGCAGTTGCTGCACTGCAAGAGACAAAACTTCTGCCCAACTCCACCCTCTCGCCCCCATCAGGTTTCACCCTTATACGTAAGGACCGCCCTAGGGGAGCTGGAGGTGGAGTTGCCTTTATGTTGAGAGATTCATTATCACACAGTGAGCTAATGTTATCCTCGTCGAATGACGAATATTTAGAGGTAATAGGGTTGAAAATTTTCATTGGTAGGTCTTCTAAATTCATAGAAGTCGTCAACATTTACCTGCCACCCAACTCTAGCTGCCCACCGCAGCACTCCCCAAATATTTCTCAATTTTTCGAAGGGGACTCACGTTTTGTATTGGGTGATTTGAATGCGCATCATGATCTGTGGTTTTCTAACCTACCAACCGATCAGAGGGGTTTACAATTGGCTGCCCAAATTGATGATTCTTCTTTTGGTGTACTAAACGAAGATTCACCAACAAGGGTAACGCCAACTTGCTCTAGCTCTCCTGATGTCAGCCTCGCCAGCCCTAGGCTGCTCGCTGCCTCGAATTGGAGTGCGGAAATAGCTCTAAGCTCAGACCACACTCCCATTATTATCTCAATTCCATCGTTCGAGGTTTACTGCGAAGCTGACAAGAAAACCTTCAGAAATTTCAAAAAAGCGAACTGGGCCCTATTCAAAGACATTTCAGAACGCGACTTCGGTAATATTTCTCTGTCCTCTGATTTAAACAAGGCAGAGATACAATTCCGCAGCATTATTATCAAATCAGCTGCCACAGCCGTTCCTGCAGGTAGGATCAAAATAATAAGGCCAAATTTTCCTAGTGACGCTGTGCCCCTTGCCGAAGAACGCGATAATCTTCGTAGATTAGACCCAGCTAATCCTCGCATAGCTACCCTGAACAGTAACATCCGTAAATTGGTAGACGAACATCGCCTTAATAAATGGAAGGAACATTTAGATAATTGCGACTCCCAAAATGGTAAATTGTGGACTACCATTAAAGCATTATCTAATCCTTCACGTCCTAATAACAAAGCGATAACTTTTAATGGGATCACCTTCCCAGATCCCAAGCATTGCGCACAACAATTTTGTCAGCTTTTCGTGCCCAATGCCTCTGCTTCCCATGCTATTCGCAGACAGACTCGCGCTTTTCGGAAACCACATTCCGGCGACACCACGCTGTTTTCCCCGGATGATGTAAATAACGTGATCAGACACGCCAAAGCCTCGAAAGCGCTTGGGCCTGATGGCATTTCAATGCTCATGCTCAAGCACCTCGGGCCCATCGGTCTTTCAGTTCTGACACATATTTTGAACACCTCCATCTGTTCTCACATCATCCCTAATATATGGAAGACTGGTAGAATTATCCCATTGCTGAAGCCGGGCAAACCGGCTGGCCTAGGTGAATCATATAGACCAATCTCGCTCTTGTCTCCAGTAGCCAAAGTTCTGGAGTCGCTAGTCCTAAAACAGATTTCTCCCTATATTCACCTAGCTCCCCATCAGCATGGATTTAGAAAACGTCACAGTACAACCTCTGCTCTTTGTGAGATCACTTCCCAAATCACTAATGGAGTAAATCAAAGTCGCCCGTGCGAACGCACGGTGCTGTTAGGTCTAGATCTTGCGAAAGCATTTGACACAGTCTCCCATAGCACCTTGCTAAATGATCTGGCTGAAACATCTATCCCTGACATCATTAAACGATGGCTCTGCAATTATCTCATTGGCAGATCATCTTTTGTTGATTTTAGAGATAAGATGTCGAAAGCCAGAAAATTAAAACAAGGTGTGCCCCAAGGCAGCGTTCTTTCACCGATCCTTTTCAATCTATACATGTCTAAGCTCCCGGACCCTCCTGAGGGAGTCAGAGTCATAACGTATGCTGACGATTGCACAATCTTTGCGACAGGCCAGGACCCTTCTATATTGTGCAATAAATTAAATGCATACCTTCCTAATATAGCATCTTTCTTGGCTGATAGAAATCTTCACCTATCTCCAAGCAAATCTTCTGCTACCCTCTTTACTTCCTGGACTAAAGAGATTTCTATGACTCTGCCCATTAATATCGGTGAATTCAGGATTCCTACAACCACCAAACCTAAAATCCTGGGTGTCGTTCTCGACAGTATGTTGACCTTCTCCGCACATGCTTCATCCTTGTGCAGCCGATTGAAATCTCGCAATAATGTATTAAAAGCTCTCGCCGGGTGCTCTTGGGGTAAGGACAAAGAAACCCTGCTGAGCACATACAAACCAATAGGTCGTCCTATTGCGGCCTATGCAGCTCCAGTATGGACCCCGCAACTCTGCGAGACGCAATGGAATAATATCCAAACTTGTCAAAACACAGCATTGCGAATTGCAACTGGCTGCCATCGTATGTCGCATGTTGACCATCTTCATGCGGAATCAAAGTTGCTTCTTGTAAAAGAGCACAATCAACTGCTGTCCAAACAATTTTTACTCGCGTGCCACACAGATGGTCATCCAAATGGCGTCATGGCTAGTAGAGCCCTCCCTCCACGTTGCATCCGTCGATCACTTACCAACTTCAATATCGACCAATATTGCAATGGAGCTTACATCAGTGAGGTCGAATACAAACGTGGACTTATAGCACTCCACACGGATGCAGTATCTTCTTCGAGACCTAGGTTGGCTCCCAACAAGGTCCTCAATAGGCCTCCGCCTAACATTTCCCAGGATGAACGTAATCTGCCTCGTACGGCAAGAACTGTCCTATCTCAATTGAGATCAGGATATAGCCATGTGCTTAACAGTTACTTGTCACGTATTAATACGTCCATTCCTAATGTGTGCCCAAACTGCAGCTCCACGCCCCATGACGTCGCCCATCTGTTTTCTTGCCCCAACGCACACACCAATCTTGGTCCAATCGACCTTTGGACTCGTCCCCTTGAAGTTGCTAGGTTTCTTCGACTGGATCCTGGTTAGGTTCAAATTACTCCCACCCCTCCCCTTTCCCTCATCCCAACACCCACTCCCACCTTTTCCATTCCTTATTCCCATGTATTCGTCTTGTAATCCTTACATGTTATCTGCTTTCAGGTCCCGGCGGGCTACAACAACAACAACAACAACATGATCAACTTTCTAAATTTCTAATCAAGTCACATAACGATCACATAATGTTAAAACTTTTTGCGGCATTGTGATGTCGACTGATAAAGGCAGAAATTGATTTCTGGCTTTTGGAAAAAGCCTATGCAGTATAACATTAATTGCAAAAGTAAATAAGAAAAAACAAAAAAAATACAACAAAGTAACTGTTTCATCAGAATGCTGGGGCCTAGAAATTGTAATAACATTATAACAAAAACGAAATATGAACATCTTTTAAGATAAATTATATTATTTGTAAGCCTTAGAAGAAAAAAATAAAACCAAGAATACAAATTTTTAGTTGTTCATATAATTGAATTATTACCTTGTTCACTCTATGGAATATCACGTGTTAAATTTTTCGGCGATTTTTTTGTTCACATAATGGGATGTTTACTTAATCGAGTATTCACATAACCGAGTATTCCCTAAGATATAACATACAATAGCACTTCTATAAACAACCCACACTTCAAACTATGCAAGTTAATGTTCATTAACTGTTTATCCGCCTCTGGATGTAGCTGCCGTACATGTGTTTTTTACCTTCAAAGTCTTTTATAATCATCTGCTGCAAGAAGACAAGAAAAAATCTCACATATTTTCTCTCAAAAATAATTGTTTTACTCCTTTTTACACATTTTCGATTGCCTTTAGGTACATTCGTATACACGAGTAGTATCACAGCTAGTAGAGGGCATCTTTCCGCCATACATACTAATATAATACGCTCTTTGAGAAGGTGTTAGTCTATGCTATACCTTCATAGCATAAACCAGTAAACTGTGTCACGATTTAATCTATCTATACCTAATGTATGTTGTAAGTTTACTCCATCGCCTATCTCTTCAATTGGCTTACACCAAACACAAATCTGAACTAAAATCACAAGCGTGCTGGATCTCGATACTGGTTAAACTCAACCTCCCATTCTTTCCTGCTAAAAGAACGAATTTAAAAAACATATCTGTAATTAATGAAGGCACTTTATTAAATGCAAATTGACAATGCAAAATATAGAAAGTTTAAACATAATTGGCTATATGAAACATTACATTACAAAAATAATACAATACATTTAAAAGTACTATCGATACGATACTGATTTGTTTTAGAGTAATGCTTAATTCTAGTCAGTAACTTAGCTTACATTTGGCTAGAGCTAGAGCTTATCGAATAATTAAGTATGTAAAGCATTTATGAATACAGTCATAAATTCCTAGCACCGTGTTGCACATAAAAACGTTATATGTGCAAATTATTTTCTGATCAATTATAGCTTGCAATTGAAGTAATCAATGCTATTATTAGTAACGTTATTACTAAACCTAAGTAATTCTGATCAATTACATTTATATTAACGTAATTGTAATTAATTTAAAATTAATTTGTAATATAATTCAGTTGTGCTGTACGTATACGTATTACAGGTAATTCTTATAAATTCTAGTATCACTCCGTGGCAAATCAGTTAGCTTACTATGAACTGTTTAAATCTTCAATGCCAGACTCATTGTGCTTTATATTGTAACTATATTTAGCAGTTTGTAATAGTGCAGCAGATGTAGCTGTACCAGTTTTGTCTACTAGTTCTCTTAAATAGCCGTTGGGATTTTGTAGAAGCTCATACGGATGTCCTAACTCCACAGCCTGCCCTGCATCCATCACTAACACCCGATCACTATCCATTACTGTATGTAATCGATGAGCGATTGTTAGCACTGTGCAGTCAGCGAACTTGGAGCGTATAGTTTTTTGGATAAGTTTGTCAGTTCTACAAATAAAATGATTAATATATGTAGCAGTTTATAATGGTTGATGTTCATTTATATAAATACTTACTCTGGGTCCACATTTGCGGTAGCTTCGTCCATTATCAATATACGATTTTTCCTTAATATAGCTCGTGCCAGACAAACCAGTTGTCTTTGCCCCACACTGAAATTTGAACCACCATCATACATTCTGCAATCTAAGCCACCAATCAACGTTGAAACGTGGCCACGCATTTCCACATCAGACAGCGCCTTCCACATTTCTGCATCACTGCGTTCATCCAATGGATCTAAATTATAGCGCAAAGTACCTGAGAAAAGAACTGGATCTTGTGGTATAATCGAAATTTTACTACGTAAATCATGTAGGCCCATATTTTCAATATTGACATCATCAATGCGAATTAAACCTTCATTGCAGGCCAATCTAAATAATGATTGTATTATTGATGATTTACCAGCACCTGTGCGTCCAACAATACCAATTTTTTCACGACACTCAATCGTGAAATTTAAATCTTTAAGTACATAAACATCATTGGGCGAATATTTTAACTTAAAATCACTGAATTCAATACGTCCTTTATTAGGCCAATCACCTTTTGGCTTAAATTTCTCAGCAGTTTCCAGTGGCGGCTCTGATGGTTGGTCCATGTATTCAATAATACGTTCCACACTAGTCATTTCATTTTCCAACTCAGCGGTTTGTCGCAAACCCCACTGGCACATACCAATCATTGTTGTAGAGTGTAATATAGCCAAGCCAACATCTCCACTGTTGAACTCTTTGCCCAACAACAGAAAACTAAAGGTTACTGCTGAAATATATAAGACGCATACAATATCAGACCAAAGGGCAAATGCGCGAGTACAAGATAAGAACAGGAACCAAGCGGAGGTATTAGCATTTTGATAATCATGAAACTCTGTTTCTAGTGCAGATTCAGCCTCCAAGGCACGTATAGTAACTAGACCCTGAAATGTCTGATTTGTAAGTGAATAAACAGGACTGCGCGCTGCAAAATAAATCATTTACAACACATATATACATTTTAGTATTATTATTACTTACTTATTGACTCTATGCGCTTAACGCTTCGACTAGTGTTAACGTAAAGATATCTCAGCATTACTAGGCATCCTATGATTACAATCGCAGGGACTAAAAGCCAATAGTTGGCAACAGCAACAATTATTAAAACTCCAGAAACATCAATGGCAAACTAAAATAAAAATAATATTTATAACAATCTGACTTCTAAGAACAACAAAATAAATATCTCTAATAATATGTCTAATAATTCTAAACACGACCATTAAAAATCATAAAAGACTAAAAACTGAATATCATCAAATAACATAGTATGTGCACTTACTGAGAAACAATCAAATAATGTGTGCGGCATATCTGTATCTACTGTGCGTATATCCTTCGAGAATCGGTTCAGAATGCGACCGGAAGAGTTCGTATTGAAGAAGTACATACTAGCTCTTGTAATACCACGGAACAAACGATCATGTAACTTTAACGAAATTCGTAAGCACATTCTAAAGAAACCGAATGTACGCATCAAATGTATAATCAGAGTGGCTCCTAATATAATTGAGTAAAATATGATTAGTTCTTGTCGTTTTTCGTCCTCATTATCAATTTTTCTAATAGTAACATTGGAAATTATATCTGTCTCATTTTCCACGCTAAATGTATGCATTGTAGATGGTAGTGTTGTGTTGAAAGTGGAATTTTCTTCTCCTTCGGTCCAAAGAACTGATTTTGGTTGAATAGATTCATCAACAAGTGCTACTTTTTCTTCCCATATAACCCTATCAAGAAAAATTAGTTAGTATCTACCATAATTAAAAATTTAAAAAAATCATTTTAATTTACCAGCGTGATAAGAAATAATCTACTCCAGTTAACATAAAACGAGTACAGATAAACAAGCCCACGATTACTAATAAAATAATGTTGCTTTCTAGTGCCTTAAAATATGACATATATACACTAAATTTCACAGATCCGACAGCCTGCATTTCCTTGTTAGCATCTTCAGCAGGTTGTTCTCCTGGCTTTAGAAGTTTCTGATGGTGTTCCATACTTTTCTCCGAATCACTTCGACTTATATGACTACCTACACTAACAGCATCATCCCCTCCTTCCTCGTGCGTTTGCTCTAAAAATTGAAACTGTTTCGATTTTTGTAATTCTTGGTAGCTACCTTGCGCAACAAGACTGCCAGAACTCATTAACAGCAACTGTTCTACATCAAATAAATACTGCAGTTGATGTGTTACAAGTATACGGATTTTACCCGAAAGAAAATCAGTAATACAACGCTCAAAGATATGTTTACCAACATGAGTATCTACTGCCGACAATGGATCATCTAATAAGTATATATCAGCTTTTCGGTATACAGCACGTGCCAAACTAACACGTGCCTTTTGGCCCCCACTTAAACTCACACCGCGTTCTCCTACAATGGTTAGATCTCCACGAGGAAATAGCTCTAAATCTCTTTCGAGTGCACAAACTTTTAGTACACGGTTATATCGTCGCTCGTTATAATCTTCAACGAAAACAATATTATCGCGAATAGTGCCTTCAAAAACCCATGGCTCTTGGGCGGCATACGATATTTTTCCATGTACTAATGCTTCACCGGAATCGATTTTTACTTCCCCGAGCAGTACATTCAAAAAGGTGGATTTGCCACAACCTACTGGTCCTACCACAGCTGCTAAAGTTTGATCCTTAATTTCAACATTAAAATCTTTTAAGGCGGCGTTTCCTTCACCACCATTATTTTCCCAAGTAGCTGAAACATTGCGCAATACAACGCACTTGTTTTCACTCTTCGGTTGAAAATCGCGTACACAAATAGTTTTTGGAATAATTTTCTGCATTGAGGTACCATTAAACTTCTTCTCTGAATCGCCATTCTTAACGATACCATCTACTTTGTCTTCTTCAAGTTTAGTTCCTTTTGTATACACAGTATCATCCTTCGACTTTTCTCTTTTTAATGGTGCCTCAGCTTCGTTACCATCTAACAAGAACTCTTTAGTACGACGAGCAGATACACAAGCTTCTGCAATAAATGTAATGGCAAGTGGCCAAAAGTGCACCATTGAATCGTTTAGCATGTTAAAGTAGGAAGAGACTGTGTAAACTCGTTGTGCTGTAAGTGTGTCTCCCAAGTACACATAAGACACCAAAGCCAAAAATACTGAAAGCGGTGAAATCATTGAAGTACAACTGAGCGCTGCATGTATGTATGCTGTACCACGAATGGCACGTACTTCTTTTAAGCGCACTTCGGCAATAACCTTAGCAAAAGATTTCTCCCATGCATACATCTTAATTACCTGGATACCTTGTATAATTTCATTCATTAGCTTAACACGCAGATCAGTACGTTCTGCTGTTTTCTGACGATAGTAAGCAGCTTTTTTTGCCGCCCAAGCTTGAAGCGGTATAAAACTAAGCATAAAACATATAGCTATAACTGCTGAGACACCAATTTCACGATACATCAAATAACCAATAAGCAACGATTCCGCTGGACCTTTCCAAACATCATGTAAAAAGCATAAAGCTACATCAAAACGACCCAAATCGTTTGAAAGTATGTTGATGGCCCGACCTCGTAGTCCATCGTTACTTGCGCAGGTAGAGATTTGTTGACACTTCTTATATATTAAACCAGAGAGCCCCAACCGAATTTTCGTTCCGACTTGAAATATGTAAAATATAAAAGGATGAAATGACAGCACCGGTACAATTGAGCACACAACGATGCCAATAGCGTAAAGATATGCATCTGATTCGGTAATAGTGGTTTGACCTGTAGCAAAATAAGAGACGAGTCCTCCTAGGAAAAGCGGTTGCAGCGCTCTAGAAATAAAATTCATTTAATTTAGTTAAAATCAAAAAATTAATGTATGACTCAAAATATTACTTACTTCGTGACAGATTCACAAAGTGAATACATAATACCCAATGGTAAAAATATTGAGCCATACGCTCGTATAATCACACGTATTACACTCGGATTTTTACGTTTCTGTTCTTCCTCCCACAAGACTGAAAACTTTGTAGTTACTCGTTCACTATCTAAATCTTTACGGTGCTGATATAAGTCTTCCTCTTCAAGTGGTCCTTGCAAACCCTTATGAAATATTTTTCTCATCCACCTAAAATTGAAATATAAAAGTAATATATTATAGCAACTGCCAATTGAAACAATGCTATTTAGTTAGTCTCAAGAAAGGAAGGGTCCACTTCACGTAATCAGTCGTCGCCAGCGACAAACAACTGCCATTCAAAACCTCCCAAAAGGACTTCGGGACCCAGCGGGTCACAACAACAAGAACATGCTATTTAGATACTATATATGATTGGCTTCTCCTGAATCACTTGTTCACTTCACATTGGATGAGAATAGAAAACATTTAATAATAATATAACAAATAGACTGTTGTTGTCATTGTTAACCGAACTAGATTCTCAACGAACATAGCAAACATATCAAACATATCTGCGAAAGTAATATAAGGAATCGCAAAAGAATAGCCAATAAATTTAGAAGTAAGTGAGAGAGCGTAGGAATTTATGGTGAAAAAGGATTAAAGTTTAACTTTTGCTTTTTTTGATTGTTTTGAAACACTTTTGAATATGTATCTGTGCGCCATTTACTTAAATATTAAATTTAGTTATTTAAAACTAGATTAAAATATCATTAAATAGCAGGGACCGTAACCCTTATCATTAAAAAAACAAAAATCAACTAATAACTCTTATCATTCGCATTTTAAAATAAAACTCAAAAAATAATAATTAAATTTGCTTTATACAATAATTTTTAAAAATAATTATTATCATATGCTTTTTATTTTCCGATGCAGAAATAACTCTTACACTCTGCTTATTATTTTAAAATGCACAAAAACTGTTATTTTTACCTTAAAAATATAAAAATCAGGAATAACTTTTATTTTTAAAAACAAAATATCGCTTACACGGCGTGCCTGATATATTTAAAAATGAAAATATAAAATGCATTTTGCATGTAAGATAGTTGTTTTTGTAATTTTATATTATATAACATATTATAATCTATTATATTATAAATCAGTTGTTTTTAAACAACACAATATGTATTCGAAGGCACATGCACTAAAAACAAACGCAAGTTTTAATCTATTAAAAAATTACCGATTAAAACAAAAGTTTGTAATATCTCTAGGTAATTGCCCTAGGAGACTTAGACAGTCACCAATAATAACCGTTCAGAGGTTATCAGCTTAGGAAACAAGGATACACTTTAAGTCATAACGGTTATACGAAAACTATTAGAGTAAGATAAGATTAAATATGGCAATATCAGTCATTTAATACTAAATTCCAACTATATAACATGCATTACAACATTACCATAAGATAGACGGAGTATCAGGCGAAAGACCAAGATTGGATTTAATACTCATCATAAGAGATAATATTGTTTAGTCTACACGGCGAGTTTTTCAAAATGTAAATTTCTCTATTTCAAACATTTATGTGGATTTTTCAAATTGACTGATATATTCAACGTTAAAGAAATTTATGTTGAATGGTATTAAAGGTTTAAAAGAACTTGGTTTAAAAGAAAATAACAATAAAATACTACTTTTAAATCTTTAAAGTTCTAATTTAACAATCGCAGCTTATCTAAATTAGCTACATATAATGGAATTATAAAAACCTGCACTAATGAATTATATTTATTCCGAATTAAATGAAATTTAAAGAAAACTATAGTAAAAGGTTATTGTTAAAGATCTAGGTAAAGATCGCCAGATCTTAGCCATTTCTTTTAGTGATGAAATAAGAAAAGGTTATATCCGCATCATCGACAGTTTTAAAATAATTATATGTATTTATTAATAAATTAAGTATGAGAAAAAAAAATTGCAAACTGATCTTAGTTCTCCTACACATAATGTATAAAAAATTTCAAATTAAACTATAAATTTAAAAGATAAAATAATAAATTCATGGAATAAAAATTATACCAATACTTTTTTACTTTTTATACTCTTGCATACATATTGTATATATATATATGTATAGGTTTGTCAAATCAATTAAATATGGATTTACATTGGACTATCAGAAAACAGCAGTTTCTCTAAACGATCAGATTTTAATTGGTTTGTAATTTAAGCAAATTAATTGAATGCTTTCATTGTTAAGAATAAAATCTGTAAAGCGTAAAATTCTTGGTAAATTAATGTGATATTTATTTCAATGTATACTTTTATCAATAATATTCTTATTAGTTTAATACATAGTTTCTATAGAAGTACATATACATATACAGATTAAATTTTTAAGCTGGTACTCAATTACTCGTATATATATATTTCTTTATTCAGTTTAATACGTGCATCAATAATAATTATGTTAAAATAGTTTTAATAAATTTCAAGGACGATTTTGCTTATCGTCAAAACTTCTTATCTTGCCGTTATTACATCAGCTATATTCTAACTTACTAATTTGAACGCTGACAGTGATAAGAATATTTAATAATATTTAATAGATAATTATTATAACAAAACGTAGACTTTTACTTTCATGTGCATTTTTTTTGAAGTTACAGTATTTAGTAAACTTTAAATAAAATAAATCTTCTCAACATTTACTTAAGTAATTCACATACTCAAAAAATATCGCATTGCACATAAATTGCTATATTAAACTAAATTCATATCCATTTCCAAAAAAAACAAACCTAACTTCACTATGCAGGCAGTCATAAACATAATTCAAACTGCTGCTTTACAGCAGCAAAAATAAAAGGATAAATATAAAGTGTCAACTAACAGCATTAAAAGTCGAAAAAAAATTAGCAAAACAATCTACTATCTGTTTCAACAACCCACCTACATCGTTTATATATAAACATAAAAACCAAAACTAAAATGCAGAAAAATGAATTGATGTTCACACTTTCGTAGACAGACTTAATTAGCATTAAGTTTAATTAAAGACATTTACAATATTTATCTATTATCTATGTTCTATAATTCGAAATTTGACACTCGAGCAGAATCACTGTAACTGTTGTAGTCTGGATAGTCTGGAAAAGACTGCTTAGCACAAATTTCCGGCAAACTTCAGAGTTATGATAGGCATTTAGTCAAAAAGGATAATATGAACACCATATTAAAGCGAGCACCTAAAAACAACAGATCAATAGACATTTTTTGTGGAATTTTTTTTCCTCCGTAACTTAACATAATCTTACAGCGACCAAAAGTTATTCAAAAAAAAAAAGACAAAAAAGTTATTTTCACAGACTAACTAATACTAATTATACATCACCAAAGAACAAAGAACTCTATTAATAAATTAATTTTCGATTCTTCTGGGAATACTAATTAAAGTTTCTTTTTTTTAAGACATGATCTTTTCATATATTCAGATGACCAAGTCCCACTCATAACAAGATATGTACAATTAGAACTAATATTTTATAGGAAAGCTAATATAGAACCTAAACGGAATTATTAGAAATAGAGATCAAATCAATAGATATTTTTATATCCCGTAAAATCCTGTAACAGTAAAAAAAATAGCTAATAAATTATAGCTATATTCCACTAATATGACCACATATTTAAGCATATCATCTATTTAAATATTATCTTAAGTTATGAATGAATTCACTTGAACCAAACTGATCATTTCCATATCACCAATTAATCATAACGAAGATGATTTCTTTTTCTGTTTTCTTACCAGAAACTCCATCTCGAAAATATATTAGCGGTTGAGTAGGGATTCTTTGGGCGTTCAATTTTTCTTCTAGTCCGATTCATGTTAAATTTCTTTATTTACAGTTACGTTTGGTTATGATAAACCAAAAATGTAGTAATAAATTCGAAGTTCAAGAAATCAAGATAACCGACACGAGCACCACTCAATATGGTAAATGCAACAAAAATTTTTAAAATCGTGAATAACAGTAAATAGCAATGCAAAAAATTTACAATATTTTTTCAATGTTACAACAAAACTTTATAGACAATGTACGGTAATTACGCGTACTCGTTCTCGTATTCGTACAACAGAAATTATTTTCAAATAATTCCTTATGCTTGGCACAGCACTCGTAATTGTAATTATGAACAAATAATTTATATAAAAAATCCACCCAATTCTATTCTGTTGTAAATGAATGTTTTTGTTTTATGACGTCACGGACTTGTCCACGAGCGATTTGAAAATATTTAACACAAAAATTAATCACGATTTCACATTCTTTACGCGAAAAACCAAAAACAAAACTAAAAAAATCTATAAGCGGCCCAAACCAGACGCAACAAAACTCAATACCAAAATGTGCACAACCTTGCTGTTGCCATAATATATGAGCAACTTTTCAACTCAAACTTCTTACAAATAAAGTGCTTTGTGTAATTCATTACACAAGTGTGATTGCGCTAAAATCACTAATTCTTCATTAACTATCAAAGCAAATGTCAATGAAGACATTTGTTGTGTGTTGAAAATACTGTAAAATAAACAATTAATTAAATATTTAATTACAAAATATAATAAATTATTAACACTAATCCATGAGAAGGTGACAAACTGGTGATAGCTGGATCATTTAAATTTTGTGTATTTATACAAAATAGTAGTGGCAACACTGTTAATAACGCTCATCAGTGTGTTGAACACTCAGAACTGTTTGAACTCTCGCTTGTTGTGAAATTATTTTGTATGATAAAACAAACATCTTTGCAAATTGTTGTTGGGCTTTATTGCTGTAAACAGAGATATTTTTTATTCCGGGCATAGATTATTAAATCTTAACTCTGAATTTCATAACAGAAAGCAATATAAAATTCAGTGATCAAAACACTTAAATTTTTACAATCAACTACAACAATACAATTGTAAACAAATTAATAAACATTAGAATGTTAGAAAAACATACATATATAAACGAATAAGATTGGAACTTACACATATACATAAATAAACTTATTGTTATGAATTACAGTTGAATGCATGTAAATGAATCCAATTGATATGAGATTTCCGCTGCGAACACATTAAAATCTGTTTCTGCTCTTTATGCTTAAGCTGAACTCACCACAAAAATTGGTATTTCTTTTTAAATATCGTTTCTAAAGCAATCCGCCTCAAACTTTTGCATATTAAAAATTTTGTTGGCGATTTTATATAGTCTATTTGCATATTTTGTTATTAAATTAAAGAAATTTTATTTTTCGTAACAATGTTTAGTAAAGAATAATTTAAACACATGTTGAATATTGTTTTCAGTTTAATTTTATTTTGTATTCCAAATATGTAATGGAAGTGTGATTTTATTTGATTGATTGTTGAGAGTATTGTTGTGAAGCGTCATTGTAAAGCGTTATTATCAATGATTATCTAAAAAACTTCTTATATTCATATTATAATTAATTTTGTATTCAAAGTTAAGTTAAAATATATCCAAAAATGTTTAACATATAACATACATATATTAATTTTTTAATGTACAGTGTAAGATATATTTTTACATTGCAATGTCTATATTCTAATACATGTATTATATATTTTAATTATACATGCGTAAAACCACCAATAATGGTGATACCAACTCGTCGTTATCAAAGACCAACTGCCGATTGACACCTCCAAAAAGGACTTCACAAGCACGTCCCAACAGGCTTCAACGACAACAACAGAACCACCAATCATATTTACTTTACGATTTGTTTCCTTAAACAAATTATAATACAAATAATCGTTAAATATTGACTAATACTTAAGTTCATAATTGCTCTTCTAACCATGGGAATATTTGATTTTCTGTTTTCTTAAAAAAAAAATTTAGAAACCAATGAAAACTTTTTCAAATTTATTTTTGTATTTAACTAATGAAAATATATAAACAAAAATCGTCGTTAAATTCAATTTATGTACTATATATGAAATTATATTATAAATAAATTTTTAAAGTGTGATGCATAAAATTACTTAACAATTTGTGTAACATGTCAAATACATCTTTGAAAATTTTATTTTCGAAACATATATAATTAATAGATTTTCTACTATATGTATAACATATATAAAAAAAATAATTTAAAACTGGATATAGTAAAAAAAATGTTGTGTATATATATTGAGAAGCTATTCATACTTTAAAATTCAATATAATGTTATTTTTTATGAAAAATAAGTATATTTTATATGTAACAAAAGTTCTTAATATTTGCATCATAACCACTTCACAAATACAACCGATATTGCTGGTTGTACCGTATTGCATACTTTGTTTTTGTAGATTGAAATTTCTAACCTAATTTGTGAATAATTTTAGAATATTGTGGTATTTCATCTGCAAATTTTTTTGTATATATTCAATTTAAAAAATTCAAAAATTATTGGAATTATGACTAACAAATGTCAAACTTCTGGTTGCACAAAAGATGCGACTTTGCAGTGCCCAACTTGCCTTAAATTAGGCGTACCAGGTTCATATTTTTGTTCACAGCCCTGTTTTAAAAGCTCTTGGAAAGACCACAAAGCTATACATGCTTTAGCAGGTAATATTATTGTATATTATTTGAAGTATGAAATGAAATTACAATGCCTTATACAGAGGGTATTTTAAAACCAAAACTCGACGATGGAAGTTATAATCCTTGGCCTCAATATCGCTTTACTGGAGAATTGCGTCCGTTTCCTAAGACACCCAAACGTTTTGTGCCTACAAGTATTGAAAAACCTGACTATGCAGATCATCCAGATGGACGTGCTGCTTCAGAAGAAGCAATGCGGGGTAACACATCCATTAAAGTTTTGAATGATGATGAAATCGAAGCAATGCGTGTTGCGGGACGATTAGCTCGAGAATGCTTGGATGAAGGTGCTAAAGCCGTTGACGTAGGAGTCACAACTGATGAGTTGGATAGGTATGCACAAAATTTTAATCACTAGATTGTATTATATATTTATTTGTTTACCAGATTGGTGCATGAAGCTGCGATCGAACGTGATTGTTACCCTTCTCCATTAAACTATTACAACTTTCCGAAATCGTGCTGTACTTCAGTAAATGAAGTTATATGCCATGGTATACCGGACACAAGAGCTTTAAAAGATGGTGACATATGCAATATTGATGTTACCGTATATCATCACGGGTTCCATGGAGATCTTAATGAAACATTTTTTGTAGGAAATGTTTCAGAGAAACATAAGAAATTGGTTAAAGTGACCCATGAATCATTAAGTAAAGCGATTGAATTGGTTAGGTAAGGTCATAAAGCCTTTCTAGTGCAAAATTTTTATCATTTGTTTATAATGAATTTAGACCAGGAGTAAAGTACCGCGAAATTGGTAATGTAATTCAAAAGCATGTGACACCGCATGGCTTCAGTGTAGTAAGAAGTTACTGTGGGCATGGTATTCACCGGTTGTTTCATACTGCTCCTAATGTGCCTCATTACGCAAGTATTTTCACCCGATACAATTTTTTACGACGATTGTAATTATTATTTATTTTAAGAAAATTCTGCTGTTGGTGTAATGAAAGCTGGTCATTGCTTTACTATCGAACCAATGATTTCAGAAGGCGCCGCAAAAAACGAACAGTGGCCTGACGACTGGACTGCAGTTACTAGCGATGGGTTGTATTCAGCACAGTTCGAACAAACATTACTCGTTACGAATAATGGTTGTGAAATATTGACAAGACGCCGTGATAAAGACGGACAGCCATGGTTTATGGATAATATGTAGACACTGCCAACTATATTCGTAACACAAAGATATTCATTGTTTACACTTTAAAACGCTGTTAGAACTGAATATTTTAAATAAAACACGTTTAAGAACTTAAAACAGTTTAACTATATTTGTTTTGTGCATGTTATCCTAATATAAGTGATCTATTTTTCCAAAGGAGCATAATTGAGAAGTTTCTCTATAAGGTCCACGTGACCAAGCAGCATGCGACGACAGCAATATCGCTTCAATCCTAACGCATCAAGAGCATCACTAATAAAATGACATGGTATTAATTTGTTAACAATAAAACGGACGCCTTACCCTTCTGTGTATTCTGCTTGCAAAAGTCCTAAGTAAGACTCCCACTTATTGCCAATAACTTTTCCGCAGGTAAAACAACGAATTGGTATAATCATTTTAGAATCAAAATTATTGCTACGTTCAAACAATGTGCAAATAGTTTTGTTTTGCTTTGAATTAACAATATGTCAATTGAATTGTCAGTGCTGCGTTTCTTGTTTTGACATGTTCGAAACAACCTGTCAGATTTTGACAAAATGTCTTACAACTTTCAACGTTTTCGAAAGTCTGTACACCAAGTATGCGTTTTGCTATACACTTATAAACAAGGTATGCATACTTCGTTTTAAGTTATTTTCTACACCGTTCATAACAACAGCGGAGCAGCAAGCACAGAATGCAAAACAATAATCGAAACTGAAGAAATTGAGGTGATGTTGATAGCAACATATTGTTTAAATTTTTCTATAAATCTATATACATAAAAGAAAGTCGTGTTAGTTAGACCACTTATAACTCAAGAACGACTGGACCGATTTTATTTATCTTTGATTTGTTGGAATCGTCTCCGCTCCGAATAGCAGAATACATTATAAAATATTGGAAAAAACCATTAATTTAGGCAAAAATAATAAATTTGTAAATGCTGTTTCAAACTGTTGACAGTTCGACAGTTTGAGTGATATTAATTCCTTTTTAAATTATTTTTTCAAATATTTCAAATTTCAAATATAATAAATAAATATTTTAATCAATATATGAGGTGAAAGTATCGATTTGTTTGTTTTGTGCAAGTGTTTAATATTAACAATGCCGCGACCCAGAAAGTCTAATCTTTCTCAACAAAGCCGTAATGCAATTAGGCGTCGAACCATTACGCATGCATCCACTGAAGAAGAACGAGAAATCGCACGAGAAAGGAGCCTCATTGGTATGACCCGCCTTCGCGCTTCTCAAACACAAGAGCAAAGAGAGGCAGCCCGTGAAACGGCTCTTTTGGCAATGAGAAATCGTCGAGCTTATCACACAGATCAGCAACGACAAAAAATATCCGACGATCAAGAAGAAATGCCTCAACTATTGATTTGTATCGAGCAGCGTTTCTATACGATTGCGCAAATGATTACACTTCGCATCCTTTCGTTCGCATTGGTCCAACGGACGTTACTTACGAACATTGCGGAGCATTAAAGTTTGCTGGAGAATCGCCAGGATTGTGCTGCCTTAATGGAACAGTGAAATTGCTATTATTGACTCCGCCACTTGAGTCATTGCATTCATTGCTTTGTGGTGAAACACCAGAATCACGACATTTTCTAGCGAACACTCAAAAGTACTATAGCTACTTTCAAATGACTTCATTTGAGGCGGACATTATCGAAGAACATGGATTTAATCAGACGTTCAAGATAATTTATGTTGAAAAGAGCAAATGTTCATTTTCTTTGAGAGATTAAAGATAAAAAATTTGATCAAATGTGAAATATAGGTGAAAAAGTTTTGTTATATTCCTGTATTTGTGTCTAAAATAAATAAGGAATGTTAACATATTAAAAAAATTGGCATTATAAATCTGTAATATTAACTTCGCTTTCGACTCCTCAGATTCAAGGCCAGATTCACTATCGAATTGGATCATTGCAACCTATTGAAGATGCACAACATAAATTCTTTCAAGTATACTTCATGGACAATATGACGGAACAACACAGCAATGAAAATAGCAATTCTTCAAGATCTGCAGCAACTACTTCATGAACATCATGTATTGGTCAAGATGTTCAAGATTACGTTTACCTAAAATTTAATATAACATTCATTGACTGATACGCGGCACGAAGTTCGCGGGGTCACCTAGTATTTCATATTTCTTAGGATAAAATATGATATCTTCTAGATTGTTTTTGTTAATTCAGTTTATTATACTACAGTTGAATTTATTTCTCTTAGCGAGTAGAGAAAGTTCGGAGTCCAAAAAAAATAATGGAAAGATCGGGAAAACAAAAGAAAAAGTATGTGCCAAGAGTGAGAGAAGTTTTTACTTTTTATTACTATTTAATAATTTTTTTCAGCAATCTTTATTCGTCCGACGCTCACCAAAATTCTTAAATAATGAGAAGTCTAAAGATTTCGATATACACAAGTAGATATGAGTACAAACTTAACAAATAAATAAAAAGTTTTGATTATCCGCACATATGTCTGCAGAGCGAAATTTGGTATGCATACTTGAATATACGCAGTGCAATTTGGTAGCACACATACTTGGTTTGCATACATAGTAGTTATGGTAGCATCGTAGTAGTTATTCAAAATTTAAATGCTGATAACGGTGCTTTTCAATTAAATTTAGGGTTTATTTACGTTTTGGAAAATTCTTATTTAATTTACCTCTTCAAACATTAACATTATAACAACCGAATAACAATTACATTAAATCGTGAACATATTATTAACATAAGTTTTTTAAAATAACGTACATCTATGAATTTATCAACGAGGCAAATGGATTATATAAAAACAGATATCTATTGCTTAAAAGGTAATTATTCAAATTCTCAAATATCTTTTAATATTATTAAGATCTGTTTAATGCACTTTCATTAAGTATGTTTAGTGTATAATTCTTCCAAATGTCTTATAATTTTAGTATTGTATGGCATTTTTTGGCGCTCACATTTCAATTAATACCACAAACTGCAATTAATAATGCAGTGTGAACAAGCTGTAATCCGTATATGCATTTTGTATTTCTTCTCATGTTACGTGCTATAGAAATCTACATGGGTTACACAAGAAATATGTATAATTTACTAAGCTATACCAATAAAAATTTTGAAATTGTTTTAAAAATATCTATTATTTTCAAACGTAATTTATTTTATTCATATAAATAACACTTTTAATCTAAGTCATTCTATGCATAATTTAATAATATGACAGTTTAGAAGATACATGAAAATTGGCATTTTCGGTGGCTCGCAAGTAAATTGCTGGTCTATACTGGCCAAAATGTACGCAAGACAACAAGACAATTTTCTCTACCTCGACTAGTTTGGTATATTGGCCAAACACATCAGCCAGTAAAGAAAAAAATGTTACCAACGCAATAAGCGAACTTCATAGGATATTCCAAAGAATGTTGCAATCATGTCATAAATCATATGTAAAAAAAAATTCAAACACAATTCAAATATGTCATAAATTTAAAAATTGGGAAAAAGAAAAATTTCAGTGTTTAGTTTTGAAAATTTCAATATTTTTACCATTCCTTTTAATTCCATATTCCTTTTTTTTCAATTTATATGAATTATTTATTTTTATACAAAATGTAATTTGCTTGATATATGTGCACATATACAAGATTTGCTATATGCCAAAACATAACACTTGACAGACTGCAGCAGTGATGCCAATGTCTCGCGTAGCGAGTATAGTTTTTGCCATACTTGCGAGTCACCGAAAATGCCTAATGTCGTTTCACGTAAGTATTAATTTACATAATACATACTCAAAGGCATACGGGACATATATTCTAAAACCTCTGAAAATGAGTTAATGTGGCAACTATATTCGTAATTTTCTTCTTGTTCAAATTTGACCTTGTAGTTGTCATTTGTAGGTCATACGCAGAGTTTGGGCTATTGGTGGTGGAAGTTTTGGATCGATTTCATTACTAAAATATTCTAAGATACTTCGTAGAGTCCAACAAACTTGTAATATGGCTGGAAAATACAAAATAGTTATGGTACGCCATGGTGAATCAGAATGGAATCAAAAGAATCTCTTTTGTGGTTGGTTCGATGCTAACCTCAGCGACAAAGGTAACAAGGGTACCGATTTCTTATAAGATTGTAGTTTTTATGAATAGATTATTTATAAATAGGCAAGGAAGAAGCTTTAGCCGCTGGTAAAGCAGTCAAAGAGGCTGGTTTAAAGTTTGATATCGCCCACACATCAGTTCTCACCCGTGCACAAGTTACACTTGCTGCCATTTTAAAGGAGTCTTGTCAAGAAGGAATTCCAATATGCAAAACTTGGCGTTTAAACGAGCGTCACTATGGTGGCTTAACAGGTTTAAACAAAGCAGAAACTGCTGCTAAATACGGAGAAGATCAGGTGAAAATATGGCGCCGTAGTTTTGACATTCCACCTCCACCCATGGAGGTTGGACATGCTTATTACGATACTATTGTAAAAGATTCTCGATATGCTGATGGTCCAAAGGGCGATGAATTCCCTATGTTTGAATCTTTAAAACTTACCATTCAGCGTACTTTACCATACTGGAATGATGTCATTATTCCGCAACTTAAAGAGGGAAAACAAATAATTATTGCCGCACATGGTAATAGCTTGCGTGGTATCGTAAAACATTTAGATAGTAAGTTACAACGTTTTAAACAAAAAATTTTTAAATAACAAATTACTTTTAAAATATAGATTTATCCGACGACGCCATTATGGCCCTCAATCTGCCAACTGGTATTCCTTTCGTTTACGAATTGGACGAAAACTTCAAACCAGTGGTTTCGATGAAATTCCTTGGTGATGAAGAAACTGTAAGAAAAGCAATGGAGGCTGTCGCTGCTCAAGGCAAAGCTAAGTAAGCGCACAGAAATTAAAATACATACCTACTTAGCATTGTCGGTGTATGTATGTGCATTTCGAGTAAATACAAAATAATAATTGGACAAGCAATTTGTTTAAGCATGTTTATCATTATTCTGCGGTATCCATTTCACTAGTTATATACCGTAAAGTTGTTAACTTGTGTGTGTAGTAAAATAAATTATAATATAGTTAATAAATTTAATTTATTGAAACTGTTGCTGTTGCTTTACATTTAAAAAAATCTAAAATAATCTCTTGTTTATTTCAAAATGTGATATTAAATTATGTCACGATTTTTATATTCTGCGCTTTATCGATTTAATCAGACTTTGAGTTTAGGTTTTAGAAGACGCAATGTACACCAAGTAAAGATTTCACTATGATAATGTGACTTATTGGATTATTTTTTCTTATATTTTTTACCATCTTTTGCTAACTCCAATCCAAGTATGCATTTCGCTGGTACTTTGTATGTCTCGGTGAGCAGTGTGTACACAAACCGCACTTGATTCCCTTGTATTTGTAATTGCTCTCTTTTTTGATTTGGTAATTTGATGATTGTTGTGCTCGCTGCAGCACCTTGTTTACACAGCTTAATAAATTCTGGCAAAATTATTCCATAGCACTCCAAATTGCTCACAAGCGTCACTTTTTTATTGCCCGATCTTGTCGCTAGGGACATTTGTATTAGTGGTTTATTGGAACTTATATCTTTCAAACTACACATCTGATAGGAATGCTCCATTTTATTTATGATCTCCATACATATCCTATTTAAATTAGCTTCAGTACATTCACAGATTCGTTGTAAAGTGTCATCTAGGCTAAAACTCTTTGTAATTGGGTCTGATACTGTCAAATTTTGTTTGTTCACATATTCGCGGACAATTTTCTTTACTTGTGCAACAGGAATGCCTTCGCCACGTTTGTAGTTTAATTTAGTAAAAAACGGTGCTGTGACATCTGTCACAACATACATTTCTTTTAATTCCGAGTGAAAAAGTGGCTGATTTTGTTCTTCTTGTGTCGAATTGGCAAGCTTTTTGAAATCTGTAACAAAGTTAACCAATTCAGGATGTTCTAAATCGATAAAAGTTATTTTATCTACTCCTTTGGTTTCCTCTCGAACCACTATAAAACCTTGGTCGATCATTTCATTTAAGAAATTTGACAGTTTTTTGTATTTAGTTTTCTTGATGTCTATATTTTGTTCAGCTTCTGGTACAACATAAAGTCGGAAAAAGTTACTGGTAAGTAATGGTAGTTGTAGAGTTTTTCCATGATTTTTTAATGCAGCTAAAAATGCATTTTTAAGTATTTGTTCCGCTGTTAACAGAGTTGACTTTTCATCGTCGGTATTATTTGCATCTACTTCAGAATTATTGCACTCTAGTTTCAAATTCATTATTTGTGATACATTCATATTAGAATTCTGTGTATTTGAATCACTTTCTGTTTCCACATTCATTTCTTTTGAGCTTTGTTCTTGCGGTTTCTCCTTTCTTTTAGTATTTGCTCCTAGTTCCGGAAAATCGTCATTTGTTAAATCCGAAGGTTTCAGATTGGGAATCTGCTGTGTTAGAGATGGTTCGTGACCCCAAAGTTTATCTCCAAAGATATGCAACATTTTTACAGCTGAGCCTAAGCGGAATCATAAAATTTAAGTGAGTGCAAATCAATAAATATGTTAATTTACCTTGCCCTCCACACATATAAAGGTCGTCACTGGAACGTGTTAAAAAACCAATACCTACAGCGGCCTTATTTGAGGTTAAGTTAACAGCTACTAATTGCCCTTTCTTGTAACGGCCATACATATTCATACCTACTCCTTGTTTTATTACACCTGGCAACATGAGATCAGCTCCATTAGACAGTTTTGGTAATACTTGTGGAAATGTTGTGAAATAAGGCAATAAATCAGGAACTAACCACACCGCGTACAGAGTTGGTGCCAAAACATTGTCTTCCGTTTCGAAAAACATGGGTAATTTATTAACACAGTAAACATTTGTTTGAAAATCATTATATGTAATCAATTTAAGTATGCTTATGCAGGATTTCTGAGGTATTAGGATTTGAAACTTTTCATCGGATAAATTTGAAAAGGACTTCTCAAGACGTTGCTTAATTAATTTTACATCTGATCCTTTTAGCGGTGCATTACTTTTTAATTTATACGGTTTTAAAAACATCTTGCAATTTTTATAACTTTCAATATAAAGAGTACAATTCGTTAATGCCGCCCAATTTCATCATATTTATTAAGTTGGCACTTATTTACGTTTTGTGTGTATTTCACGTATCAGCTGACGTGCTCTTGACAAAGGGTTGCAGAGCAAATAAAATAGATTTTTACTATACTACTTTTTCACATATTGTTGTTAAAATTTGAATTGTGTATGAAGATATATTCAAATTTCATTTTCTGATGTTAAAAAATAAGTAAAATTATAAAGTTGAGTTTTATCACTAAAACGATATATTTAAGTACGTGGCTTACAACTTAAAAAAATGTTAAACTAAATTTTTTTTATATGTAACTAAGTAAATAAATAAAGTATATTGATGTGTAAAGACAAAGTAAAGAATAAAGTATTTGAAAAAAACATTTTTCATACTTAACTATATATATTTATAAAACTATAACATGTAATTATTACGGCAAACAGTATATTAGATTCAAGATACAACTTCTCTATGGCTGCATAAAAATATTAGAATTGTTTGCCCTCACCATCGACTACCTTATATTAATTTAATATTGGATTATATTATTTTCCTTGCTGAAGTTGTACTGGATTGATGTGCTTAATATTGATATGTGAATTAGTATAAAACTTTTTCCAAAACTTAAAAATTATTTAATTGATTAGAAAGTATTAATATTTAAAATAAAGAATTCTTGATTAACATTAGCGGCACGGATTAATGATGTTATCTTTGATATTTTAGCTAGTCTTTATTAGCTTCATTCTTCAGCCATTGTACGATGGTGTTGTAATTTCGGTTCATCCAATCTACATTAATATGCACCTGTTCAACTATTTGCTTTATTGATCGACCATTGTCTTTCAGATCGTTTCTAACAAACGACTCCAATTCATTCAATAAAAATTTGGAGTTCATTCGTTTAGTTGCAAATTTAAGAATTGTGTTCAAGTTGGATATAGAAGTTCCCAAGCTGTAATAAAAGTTATTATATTATTATAAATTGTTATGATTTTAAAATGAAACTTACTAAGCTTTGATTTCTTGCCAATTATTGCGTATAAAATCGAATGCAATTTGCTGACCAACGACATTGTTTGACACGGCTACAAATACCCTGTAAACGTCTTGTTTTCGTATTTTGTCTCCTGTTAGAGAATGCCGTAGATACCTAAAAAGAATCCATGGCTCCTTTGAACATCCTAAAGCAATTAGCAAAAGCTCTTTTTCCGTGGAAACAGAAGTTTTTAAATAGCGTTCAAAAGCAAAATCCCATTCGGTTTCAGTTCCATATTGAATAGCTGAACAGTAAACAATACCCCGTAAATTGGGAGATATGCTGAAATATAGAAAAATATTATTGATTAATTTTGCTTTGCTACATTTGAATTTAATAAAAAAGATTTTACTTACGGATTATTTACATCCGGATTCGGTTCCTGTAACCAATTTTGAAATAAACGACTACTGTCTGATATACAGCCCCGATGTCCTAAGTGGCATGCCATATTTAAGATTTCAATACGTTTAAAGGTTCTTAGCATATCGTGCTCATTATTCACATTGTCATCGAAGCCCACGTCCTGGTACACAGTGTCTATTAGTTTTAGTAAGTAATTCTGTATATAAAAGGGATCTTCATATTAATAAATTAAATGCGTATATCAATCATACCTTAAGTAAATCATAATCACCCTGATTAACAAACATTGTATCAATAAAATTAAATGCAGTGATTGCGGCCTTCCATGGCACATGCTCTGTTTCGTGAATCAAATATCGAGATAGATTCAGAGCAATTGCATATGATAAATATCCACCACGTGCTAAATTCATAGCGTCATCTATGAGTTGAGCTCTATTGGGGGCAGATATTTCGGCATAATGTGTCTGTTTCATTAAATGATTTGTAATAGCACGCCAGTTTTCTAAATCATAGTTGGCACGATAGTAACCAGTCTGCTGTATGTTGAATATAAACCATTCAGCAGTTGAAAGATTTCGATTCTCTATTTCATATGTTTTTGTACGTGGCACCCATGTCACAGGACGTGTACTCTCAAAATTCAATTCTGTCGAGGTTGTGAAAGATATTGGAATCCACCAGAGTGGTTCAGTAATATTTGAGTTATTACTTTTCGTTTTGTTGACAAAAACAAATCTTTGTTGTTCTAAGCGAACAACGTTTGTATTTGGATGTCGAGATATTTGTAATACGGGGTAGCCCATTTGCAAGGTCCATGTATCCATAATTTCTTTGACAGTAGTATTTTTATCTAAAAGATTATGTTTAGTTGCTTCCATTGTTAGAAAATGCCAAAGATCATTCTGTTCTGCGGAACTGTAGGCGCTGAAAAAATATTTTATTTTAATGAAACAATTCTTTTTTTTTCGTATATGTTGCATACTGTGTACAGTGGGTGAGATAAATGTATTAAAGCATATGTTTTCTATTACAAATTAACTCACATTTTCTTTAGGTAGTTGCTTAAACCCTGACGAAAGACCTTTGTTGTAAGGAAATGATTCATCATACGTATAATTGTGGAGCCTTTCGCATATGAAATTCGATCAAATATCTCATTTATTTCATCTGGATTACATACTTCTATAGATATTTTGTGTGACGTAGACAAAGCATCCAATTGAAATACATTTTGAAGCTCATTAACTACAAATTGATCAAGCGTTTTCCATTCAGGTTCGATTGCATCTACAGTTAAATATTCCATATAACTGGCGAAACCTTCGTTTAACCAAATATCGGACCACCATCGAGGAGTGACTAAGTTCCCAAACCATTGATGTGCTAATTCGTGCCCAATCACAGCAGCAATGCGTTGTTTATTGGTTGTTGCTGATATTCCTTCTTCAAAAAGCATTGTTGTTTCTCTGTAAAAAAAATATGTGTACATATATAGTAATATATCTAGATTTACTCAAATCTAATTTACCTATAGGTTATTAAGCCCCAATTTTCCATTGCACCTGCTTGAAAATCTGGCAATGCTATCATATCCATTTTTGGAAGCGGAAAATCAATATCAAAAAACTGTTCCAAAAACTTTAATATTTTCGGTCCAACCTTCAGAGCATAACGGGCTGAGTTTATTGCATTCGTACGCGCCCATACAGAAAAATTTCCATCCGAAAGAACGCTAAAGTCTGTTATAGCATAGGCAACCAAATATGTGGACATTGGTAGTGACTCAGCAAAGTGATCCCAAACATAATTAGGCAAACTCTCGCTAAATAATAGGCATTTTCAATATTTTTTTAATCAATGTACTTTAATTACTTACTGTGGTTTTGTAACTACAATAGGCATATTTGAAATAGTTGACATTGTTACAGGTCTGGCAATATTTAGAGTGAAGTTCGCTTTGAGTGCCGGTTCATCAAAACAAGGGAAAGCTCTTCTTGCATCAGTGGCCTGGAATTGTGTAGATGCTAACCATCTTTAAAGAATTAAAATCAAAGAAAAAATTGTAAACGTAACCTATCTAAATGCATATTTTACTATACCTGGTTTGGTTCCCAACTTTATAGGAACTGCGATAAAAGCCTTGTAGGTAGTCTTTGAGAAGCCCATTAAACTTAATATTGATTTCATATTCGGTGTCTCGTTTTAGTTTGTCATATAATTCAATAACGAAAAACTGTTTAGCCTCGATTAGATATTGTTTTCTTATACGCAACTGAGCTTCCGGTGCAGGTGATTGGATGTCTTTTATCTTAGCACGTCGCACCTCAACTCCACTCTTTGAAATATTTAATTCTGCTGCGTGCATAGTTATGTTGTAGCAATCAGCGGTTTCAACTAGGAAACTAATTTTCACTTCACCTTCGAAAGTAAAATTTTCATTATGCAGATAAGGCGTTAATGAGATATTGTAGCGAAGCGGCTTAATAGAACGTGGAAGGCGTACGTCTTTTTCGTAATGAGGTGTCTCATCCAAAGTATCGATGCTGTTATTTTGGCCAGATTTCGAAGGGTGCGTTAGGCGCACTGGTGAACACACAATATTTTCATCTGATAAAGAGCTTAGTTCGTTACAAGTAGCGAAGTTGTAGATAATGAAGCTGACAGCAACTAATGAACATATAAAAAACGCACCTAGCAGAACTACTGTGTTGAGTGAAAGTGTTAATCGCCGCTTGTGTGTTCTACTGCCCGCAATTTGACCAGTACCTGCTGGTGCTGTTGTAGTAGCTATAGCATTCCTATGATTATCCATCGTAAGATTCTCACAAATGTGAGAGTCCTTAAGTACCATATTCTCAAATTTATTTTAAAAGATCTATTTCAATATTGTACGTATTGTGCGCATATTTCCAGTTTTTTTAAATATTTATTTAAATATCTGAAAACATCAAAAATAATAGTATAATCGTACAATTATTATTTTGTTTTTTAAGAAATTATTTTTATTTAATAGATTATAATCAGTTATTTAAGTAAAATAACTATAACAGACTTCTTAGTTTAATGCCCTTCGTCATAAAAAATGGCAGACTATTTAACTGTTTTTTTGTTTTGTTTGGTTTCGTTATTTCTCATTTTAATATAGATTTTTTAATTTCAACAGATCTGATTGAATAATGATTTCAAATTACAAGGCAGTGGCGTATCGAAGAGGGATTAGAGATAGATCATTTCTTTAACAGTATCATCGCTAGATATTCCAGATATTTTATAACATGAAATATAATTTTTAATGAAGTTTAAGTGGAAGTGGCCATGTGGTAACAAACATGTATATAGTTTGATTTTATAAATACTTAACATAAACGTTGTGAAACTTTAATATTTTTTTTTTTTTTTGAACAGTCAACTTCTTTAATATATACTTAGCATTCTTTTTGGTTTTAATGAATATAATATCATTTTCTAATTGTAACGTTACTATTATCAATTGGTCTATTACTAAATTGAGAAGTATGACTTTTGTATCGAAGAAATCGACATGATGTGAAGATAAATACTCAGAAGCACAATTTAAGGAAGTCGAATTTTAACGAAGCCCATAGAATACTAACAGCAACGATTATAATCAACCTATTCAATTATAAGTTCAAAAAAATATTCCGATCCTGTTAACCGAATACTGAATTTAAGATATAAAATTATCTTTTAAAGCGTTAATAGAGACGGAATACACTGCTGAGAGTAGAAATTTGCTAGCTACCTATAAGTGCTAACTACTTATTTATACACAATAAAAGAATATAAATACCATATAATTATAAAATAATTTTATGCAATTTATTCATGCATATAAATTTGTCTCACTTATCATCAAAGCGGTCAGAGAATTGGATTTCAAGCATAATTTACATGCCATCAACGATATACTAAAGTTCTGCATATATTCTTGTTTGTTCAGAAACATAAAGATGCTATATATAGAACTCTTTCAACATTTTTATACAAATGATAAAAATATTTTTCAACTTATAATCCCATTATTATGAAATTCAAAACTTCATTGAAAGTATTATTTAATTGCTTAGTTCTCAGCCTTGATAATTCAGAATCAATTAACATTTATTAGGAGCACCAAGATAAAAACCATAAAAACAGACTATAAATGAATTGTTCCGCATCTCTTTACTCGCGTGACATGGTTGCATCATTAAACCATCAAAAAATCACAAGATTTTTCGTGCAATGTTTATTCAAGGATGTCACTAAAAGGGATCTCGGCTTTTTCTATTGGCACACATCTCAAATGTGATGAAATCTAATACATGAAGTCCAGTGCAAGTAATGGACACGAATGTTTCATTGAATACATGGCCAGCACACATATGTACAAGTGTATAAAACAATTTTCCTAAACATATAAAGTATGTAGATATCATAAACATTTTATTACTATGAGACCGCACCGCAATATTTCTGTTGGTATTGCGAAATGTAATCCGAAACGTGTGCCATCCGCTTTAATGCAATTTCAGCAAATTGCATTAAATTTAATTCTGATGTCCCATGAGTGGCGAACGAGCAAGTGCGAGGAAGCAACTGAGTCGCTACAATGTGACAGTGTTAAAGTAATTACTTGCGAATACATCACTAAGCAACTCTTTAAACACACGCTTCTTAAAGAGATTTGAATTATTCTTATATGTCCTTTAAGTTCCTAACAATAATGCAAACATAACGATGAGCAGAGTATGGGGTATGTACAAATGGTGCTAATAGTGATATACTTCCGTTTAAAATGTAATCCAATACCAATCAGGCAATTTTTTTGCTACTTCAATGCGAACGAATGCAAAGAGGGTTATTATCAATGAATTGATATTAAATCTCAGTTTCTTCGATTTTATTGCCCTAATGGGCAATGGGGATGAAGTTTGTGCTACCCTACTTCACGTGTTAATACCTTTTTAAGTTTATACCAAACAAAATACTTTAATAACCATAAACCGCAATTTAATAACATAATGTGAATTAGGTTTCATTTGATAGTTTGGGAAAGTTATTATCTACTTGAGATATTGAGTATCAATTTTGTTCATTTTTATAAATTCTATAGTCGTCTTCCTGTGCCATGCATCCGGAAAATGCATCCGGTTTCTCTGATCGCACGTAATATGCATTGACAATTAATTCATGTTTTTATTATTACTACAGGAGTCCACTAATAATATATATCTTAGAGTATATCTTAGTGTTGGAATAAAGCTTAACATATAAAGGTTCTATTTGGTAAAAAAATCTATTTCATTTACTAAAGTAATTAAGTTAAATATTAAAAATTTTAAATAAAACGCTAACTAACTGCTCTAAAAATATGGAATACAAAACTACGAGAAGAAAACGTAGTAAAAACAAAACAAGAGACTATACATCTGTAATGATAATAATAAATTTTTAATTAATTCTTAAAATAACAAAATCGGCTTATAAATTTAATTGAAGTAACAAAATAAACTCCTTCAATTAATTCAAACATGCAGTCAGTACTCAACTTAGCAATCGGTGTACACATATAGGTATAAACAAAAGCCAAACTGCTAGGTAACTACATTAAATAAACACAACAAAATACATTTGAAAAATACCAGCTAATAGTATTAAAAAACTGGAACAATATTATGTATCATAAGTGCCAGTTAACATTATTAAAAAACAGAAAAATAATTTCAGAAATAATGTCTGCCTAAAATCTCTATACTATATAAACATTTTCAATGCTAAAAATGAAAACCTATTCTTTATCATTACGGATATTTGTAGTTACGGAACTCGTTACTCGAAAAATTTTTAAGTATTATAAAATTAAAAAAGCATGAGAATACATAAAAGTTTACTAAATACTAATATATCAATACCTCTATGGTTTACTATATTTCAAAGCATATACATACTATTAATAGGAGTCTTAAATTAGTTAATTTCAGTAATTTCTTGATTCTTGTAAGACGTCAACATTTTAAAGTCTAAATGGACATTATTGTACTAGAACTATAAGTATACTATCGCCCAGAAGAATACACTATGCGTATTTTGGCAGTAAATAGCATCTTCACACCAAACATTATAATTATCTAATTATTGCGATTATTTAAGATTTTAATTTATGCAAAAATACGAAAATAAAATTAGTGAATATAAACAAAATTTTAAGTTATGAACATTTCTTATTTTTAAATGTAATTAAAAATACATATATTACAGTCAAAGAACAATAGAGCGAGTGAAATACTGTTTACTTCTGATTTAGTTCTTATTTTGGGAATCTGGAAATGCACAGCGAATGAAGCTAATTTAAAAACAAACAAAATACTGCTTATTTACAAATCCATATTTTATTTTGGAAAAATAAAAAAATAAATATATTTACACACTTTTAATTTGAACTCTTTGATGTTCTTAAACAAGAACACTAAAACATTAGATCTACACCATTTAGCTATAGATCAGTTCAATATATTTTATATTAAGAATTCATTAATTTTTAATTTGACTTTGCCATGGTAAATCTGCTTCACATGAACAGTTGTGTTTTAAAACAATTATTTATTATTCGCTTATATACTCTTATTAGCATTAAAACTATCTATACGAAGATTTTCTACAGATATTTCAAATAATTGTGCTTCGATTTTTTAGTGCTTTTAGCTGGCATTTTAGTTGTTTCTTGTTTTTTTTTCTTTTCTGCTTTTACTGCTCAGAGCTAACACTTTGTCTTTTGATTATCTTAAAGCATACATTATAGCTAAGTGAAGTACTGACTGCACGTTTGAGTGAAATGAAGGCGGTTACTTCGTATTTAAAACGAATTTAATTTAGTAGGGAAATTTATATCTAGTATAGCATTTTGAATGTAAGACTTATTACGTTTTTTAAAAGAAATTAAGTAATTTGGAACTTTTCAGCACGATATTGAGAGAAATTATACACAGATAGCACCCATATCTTATTACTTAAATGAATTGTTTATTCATGTGAAGACCTATTGCTTGGAGTTATGGCAAAATTATTTGTGCTGGAAATTATGGGAAAATGCGAGTATTTATAAATATGTTAAAAACTTATATATTTACTATACTTATTTGAGATAATATTATTGTCTTATAACTGGTAATGGTGAACGTGATAAAGATTTGTGAAGGGTGGTTGATGCTTAATGCTAAAATATTGTAAACTCAACTATGAGACGTCTAGCTCGTTATGCTGAAGCAAAATGTTTTGCGGATTAAATTTTTTAAGAATATCACAGTGTATTAAACATTTAGAAAGTGTCATCCGCGATGATGATCCAAACAAATATTATTAACCATAATGGTTATAGTTAAAATCTTGAAGAGATAAGGTACATTGTATACTATTTTAAATTTTATGCTATTATGTGTTTAGCATTGATGAACAACGGAAAATAACAAATATATAGATTTGTGTGAATACTGAAATTATTAAACTCCTATTTTTTACATACAATATATAAAATAATAATCAGTATAAAACTAGCGTCATATCTTTCAATTGAACCTGGCATTTGCTGTTAATTAAGGTATGTGAGTACTCTCACCCATAACATTAGGTCAATAGTGCACATAAAAATTGAAATTAGAGTCAAAACGTAGATTGCAAATGCTCTAACTAGTTCGAACCTATGAAAGCAAGATTTAACCAAAATACTGAAATTATATTCGGTTTTGTTTATCTGACCAAAAATCGGACGATCGAATAATTAAGTCATGAAAATTGTTTGAGCTACGATTTATATATTATCATTCTATATTATTAGTAATCACTCGTCATGAACACAAATACATATAATTTGCTCAAAGTAATTGATACGTTTAGCATATGTAGAAATTCTTCTGATATAGACATAATTTGAGAATAAAGAATTGTACACATTGTATGGCAGGCAGGGAAGCAGGCGAGCAGCGTGTTTACTGTGTTTATTCGCATGCATGTGATAATTGAATTTTGGTGAGCGTTGGACAAGACCGTCTAAGCGGTATTAGTGCTAGGGGCCACAGCAGAGCACATGGAGATGAGCAAATACTAAGTACAAAGCAACTTACTTACCCACATCTCATTTTGAACATTGAACGCACCATGAATGAGGGCAGTCATTTATGCGTTCTATAAGCTTAGGAAGAAAAAATATTCGCACTTCGATTTAATTTTTTTAATTGAGAATAATTATTTGTTTGAACATTCACCAGATGGTACTTGAAATGCGATGGACTCTTCGACTGGAAAACAGCAGTTTCAAGTGTAGTAATATAATATACAATATTATACATTTATAAATTAAGCAATTAATAAAACATTTATAAAATTAATTACCTTTAGAAATAAAAAAATGGGGGATTAATGGGGTCGAGGCAGAATATGGGATTGCAATAGAGATGAAATTTATAATAATTAAATACATATATTGCGATTGAGGCCAGAATTAACACTCCCATATCCACTTAAATTAAATATTTTATTACGATAAGTACTAACTCATGTTAATGAGTACAATTAAGGGTTTGATTCAATTTTTTCATAAATGAGCCCCAAATTAAGCAGAATATATTGAAGTAGTAACCATACATATTCATAACGTCTTGTTTATCAATAATTGCTTAGTAGTCCATTTATCACAGAGTCTACTTCTCTATAGAGAAATAGATCTATTATTCTGGAAAGAGTATTGCACCGATACTTCTGTTCACCTTTATAAAGTCTTAATTACGTTGTTATAAAATATATATTTTCTTTTAATTTATTCAAGAAAAATGCAAAATAAAATAAAATATAAATTTTTTTATCAAGAGAACTTCGAAATCAAAGTGAACAAAATAAAAACACAAACCTTAATTTCAACTGAAAGCGCGTCAAAATGCCACCGGTAAATATGTTCTTAAGCAATACTAGTTTCTACTATATTGCTATTGTACTATATTATATTAAATTTTAATAAAATTATATTTTAATAAAATTTATGTTAAATATTTATACACTTCTTGAACCTTTCGTCGGTTAAAAAATACAAAATAAAGCCCTATTTGCACACTACAAAATATCGGAAACCGTTACACTTAAAACAGTTATTACAGTTACAAAAGCAAATAAATACTTAAGGCACCAATAACATATAATTTTTATTTATTTTTTAGTTAACATTAGCAGTTCATAAACAACGCAATTGCGAAAATTATTTATTAAATGTTTAAAATATTCTATCGAAATTGTTTAATTCCTTTGTATTTATATTTGTCTTTATCGTAATGTTTTTAAAAATAATTTTAAATATAAAAATTTCAGTTCAAATTTATTCGAAACAACAACAGCGCACAACGGAGCGTCCAAACACGACCAAACCGCACAGTAGATGAAATCAAACTGGAATTTCGTTGATGAACGTCAAAAAAATGTAGTCTCCTTTTCATTTAGTAGTAGAATATTGTAGTAGTGCGTTGCGCCTATTTTGCTTACAAACGGCTTTATCTGCTTCTTTTCTTGCTTCTTTTGCTTCTTTTCTTGCCCAATTCAAAATATACAGTCCTTACATCAGTCCTTCTTATCGGTTTATAATAATAAACATAATTGCTACTGCACATTGCAGTAGCATTTATTCCCAAATATATGTTAATAGTCGTGCTCTTCTTTAACATATGCACATCAAAAGTTTGTTTATTTCTTATCTGACGTAGGTGTTTGAATAATGAAAACACACCAATTATGACGTAAAGATTTGCCGAATTGCAATTTGCATAGCGTGTTAACGACCTCTTCGCAATTGAGTATGGAATAAATGCGTGGGTGGAACAAGTCATAATTATTGTATAAGTCATAATATAAACAATAAATTACAAAAAGCTATCTTAATAATTATTTATATATTAAGATATTATAAATCATATACGAGTGTAATATTATGTTATATGCATTCATTTAACAATATACATTAATTGTATATAATTTATTTTTATTTCTTGAAGTGTATGTATGAAATATTCTCAAACATTTACTAAATATATTTCATATTTTATATTTAACGTTTGTCCATTGTTGTATAAAATATCTGAGTATAGCCAAGCAAAATTTGATAGACGAACCCGGCTCTCAGATCTGGAGATCTGTAGTTAACTGCTTGAACTAAGGCGTAATCTGCTTACCAGCACGGTTTTAATGCTGACGGTTCACTGCATAATAGGAAGGCATATTATGAAACTGGGTCTAAGCCATAATGACTTTTGTCAAGATTATGGCTCTACGGTTATTGGAACAATTATAAAATTTATTAACATTTCGAAGTATTTAAATGGTAAAAAAATAATAATTGTAACTGATATTATTGTAATTTTGTGATTATTTATATATAAGGGTAAAGAAAATTATGTAAAAACCTTTATAAAAAATATTATAAATATATTGTATTCCAAAAAATTATTAATAATAATTTTAATAAATAAAACTCTTTTAATAAAAAAAAAAAAAGAATTGTCATATGTTATTATATTCTATTATTAATTATTATTATTTATTATTATTATTATTATTTATTATTATTATTATTATTATTATTATTTATTATTATTATTATTTATTGATTTAAAAATTCATACAGCACTTACCAAAAATTTTGAAATCTTACTTAAAATCTAAATTGACAATAACATATTTGTGTGGTGCATTTTATTAACATTATTACTCATATAAATTCATAAATAATTAATCTCCTGTAACTTAAAACACTTTTCATAAATTTGCACAGGTTATAAATAGTGCTGCCGTTTAACAAGACTTTAGCTTCTTCTTCGGACAGAAGTGTTTTATCAAAAAAATCCATCTGTGTTCTCTGAAAATTGGACATACACCAATAATATGACATATATTTTCTATTTTATGATGATTACACAAAGAACAATCACGGTCAGATTAAATTCTGTGCCGTTCAGTCTTTTTAAACTGAACCGCTTCTATATATAATCTACAATAAATTATATTAGTTTATACAATATTAGTATTATATTACTTTATACAATATTACAATATTAGTTTATATTAAATAGCTGTAGATATGATAAATTGATATATATGTAAAATACTGATAACAGTCAAATCTTGGACTTTGTGTGGATTTACTTTCTACTTTTTAGATTTTTACTTTTTAGCTACTGAAACTATTAATTTTATATATGTTTGTGAAGATACCAAACATTCTCGGGAATCCCATAGCAAATCTGCCATTATTAAAAAGAAGATAAAGGAGACTTATCTTAACATTATCCTTA